AGAACAGTCTCAAGTGATGTCTTCAAGAACACATGTACTCACGAAATAGGAGCAGCAGCAGGAGCTGGAGCTGGAGCTGGAGCTGGAGCAGACTGTGGACTGTATCCAATAGAAATGGAAAAGGTTAATCTAAATCAGGAAAGAAACTTTTTACCTGCATAGATGAAAACTAGAGATAGAGATGGAGCTCACGGGACCACCGTTGATGCAGGAAGCTGAGGTGCCGTTACAGGCTGCGTGGGCAGGGCTGTATTATATGCAGGTTGGGTCTGAATAGACGAAAAAAATTATCACTCATCCCACCAATCAAATAACATGCAAGCCAAACCTCATATAAACATATACATGTACATCAGTTTCTCCTCTTGTGGTAATGGTGCATAAAGAAATGCAAGCCTTTATCCAGCTCATGTATTTGGCACATTAGTAAGATTAAGGGACTATATTTGTACAGGAAGCACCTTGAGGACATAAATGAAATGAGTTTTGTGAGTCCTCCAAAGGCTTCAGTAACATCCCAATGCCTTCAGTAACATCCCAATGCTTAACACAAGCAGAAACACAAAGTAGACAGAACTCACTCCTATTAACCTTTTATTTGTGAGTTCCCAAGGTGCATGACTATATTTTACATGTTAGCAAAGATAATAAATACGAGTGTAAGTCACTATAGCAGATGACAGCCAACATAGAATAAATCCATCATAAAGAAATGCATCCAAAATTAGGTCACTTTAAAATTCCAATAACGTGCAAATACAAGTAGCATTGAAAAATTACCAGAAAAAATCAATCAACTAATTAAGTGCCTATTTGAGCACCATTTTTTGTAGAGAAGGCATTTTGGAATTGTAGATTGTTTGAGAATGTGTGGTTAAAAAATAAGGAAAAGTTTTGGGTTTGCGTGTAATATTATTTTATTGAAGTATGTGGTTGAAAAAAAGATTTAGAAAAATGTGTTTTGAAGATAATGGGAATCACACACAGACTAAGTATTTACTATTTACTTATAGGGCAGCAAAATATCTAGGTAACTTTTTTTCCCCATGGTGGGGGCAGCTATTTATCAATTTTATTAACACTTTTGACAGGATTTCTGTTCTTGTCAGGGGAAAGTAGGGTATGAAGATGTCTGTGGGAGGGGGTTTGCACAGAGTCAAAGTCCACGAGGATATTAAAATAAAAATCTTCAAATTTGGGGGCAGATGATCCTAGCTTGTTCCCCTTTAGATCAGCATTTGCATGAATGGTTGAATGAGTGCAAAGATGAACATAATAATTAACATACTAAAAGAAAAAGACATTAAGCTTGCTAAAGAGTATGTAATTGTGTGCATACAATATTTAATATTTATCCATCCCTTTCCCAATAGTGACCAATCTGTATCCATCCTTTTCCCAAAATAATGGATAAAAACAAAAGGAAAATTTAAATTTTGAAATAAGGAAACTAGATTTTATAATATTGATTTTTTAGATATGTGTGGTTAAAAAGTAGGAAAAAGTTTTGGATTTAAGTGTCAAATTATTTTATTAGGAGAATATGTGGTTGAAAAAGAGTTTTTAAAGAATGGAGCTCAAATAGGGGCTAAAAGACATGCTAACACTATACTACCCAAATACCAAGTAAAATTGAGTCAGATGCACTCACATTACTCAAAGTAGCAGTAGATGCAGTTGAAGCTGCACTTGACGAAGCCTTGTTCTACAATAGTTGAACAGTGCAAACATAATGAGTAGCGAAATTCAATACAGTGACTACACAAATGAAATTGATACCTTTTTCTTTATATATGATAAAGCTAAGTGAAATGCAGACACAACCCCAATAATTTGGCAATAGGTACCTTGCTCAACATAATGACAATAAAACTTTTTTCAGCAACTTTATTCTCCTCCAGCGTGGTCTCATCTTTAAGAACTTTCCCCTGATGAATAAGCATCTGCTGAGCAGCAGGATAGACATCTGAACTCTGACATGTTTCTATAGTCTTCTTCACATCTGCCACCTAATGAACCACCAAGAATAGATCAAATTAACAGATAACCAAAAAGTTGAATACACAAAGTTATGCAGCTGTTGCAGGCTGGCAGTCACTATTCCCATTGCAAATAGTTGACAGTCAACTATCATTTTAAGTACAAGGCGCTCAGAATTAAGGTGGATAACATAAAATGCAAAATCTACAGAGTAAAATGAACATATTCTCAAAACCATGTTTAGCACATCAAATATTATAGCATGTTGAGTATTAGTTAAATGAGATATAGCGAAGCTGATTTTCACCAACAGATAAATGCTGATTCAGCCTCTTACTCTATTATTACACTTGTCTGCAGTAAAAGTAGATAGGTTTCTGTTACTAATCATCTGTCCTAACAAAGAAATGCTTGTTCCTGCAAAGCAGCTCCCTTTATGAACTTGCAAAAGGTTAAAGACCATTTTAATATATAGATTATATCGACGGTACATATGGATTAAAGAAGAATGAACATTTAAACCCAGTCAAATAAGAATTTCGAAAGCTTTTCTGTTTCTTAGAAGCAGGTTGAAGAGGATTGAGTGGTACTCAGAGCTGTGGGACCTGTATCAGTAACTTTTTTGCTGGGCAATTATGCTAAAGTGTAAACGCCAATTACCACCTGTTCTTTTTCTTTCTCTCCACTTCGCTTCCTTCCACTCTGACTTCAATTAACACTAAAAACTATCGTTTTAAAGTCCCTCCTAAACACGAAATTTAACTGTCTGTCAGCATAGTCAAAAGAGTAAACACAGTTTGATGGAAAGTTCCGCGAGCAATAGCACGTGGTAACACCACCATACATATATTAAATCGATACTGACACCTAAAAATTCAAGGCAATAAGCCATTGGGGAAGAAGAAACAGAATCGAATTTCAAGACCAAAATAGTGATAATTACAGAAAAAAATCCGGACATGATAATAGAAAACCTAGAATCCGAAAAACGATAGCAATACCAAAAACCTAATTCTACTCTAATCGGTGGAAATTCAAGAAATAATTCAGTTCAACATATTCTCCTACACTTCATCACATAATATATATGCATAAAGAAAGCGTGAAAGAGAGAAAAGGGGCTGTACGGTGTCTTCGGGTTTCACTTCGATCTCGAAGTGCGTGCCTTTTAGGGTTTTCACGAAAATCTTCATCTTCTGGCTTATACTATCTGTTCACGTACGACCGTCGGAAAATGACGTCGCTTGATTCTGTCGCCGCCGGCAATGTATATGAGTGTGGGGCTATCAGAGACAGCCTCTCAGAGAAAATATCGCGGGTGTGGAAAATGGAAGTTTATATATATAGGTAGGTATGCCTTTTTTTGGTCCGCATTATCCCGCTCCGGGTGAGATGCTCCAATATTAGCCCCATTCCGCCCTATTTTGTTGAAATAAAAATGGATGAATTAGTATTTTTTTTGAAAAATGAGTGGTTGAAAAATAAAGAAAAGTTTTTTATTTATGTATAACATTATTTTATGAAATATTATGTGGTTGAAAATATGAGAGAGAAAAATAAAATGTAATAAAATTAAAAGTAATGGGGGCCAAACGGGAATTTAGTAATTGGGGACATAGATAGCGAACGTGATACCATCACGTTTCTTGTCTCATATTTTGACAAATAGCACTATTTTATAGTCGACATTGATTGAGCATTTTGAACGTCTCAAGTCCTGTTCTCCACTAATGATCCATATGAGTTTGAAGCTTCCTTCGCACTTCTTGAAACTTCACTGTTTGAGGTGGGTGATTATATATAATTGATCATATTAGAAAACAACTCGACTCTAAGAATGGAGATAGTCAAGTACATCTAGACCCTAAAGATGAGTTGATCGGGTACTCTATTCTATGGTTGAACTCGTCAAAATATTGTATTTTGTCGTACCTAATCGTTTCTTAAATTTGTCATTTACCAATTTAATTAGCTATTTTTGTTTTCATTCTATGTTGAGCAAGCACATTTTATTTTATTTTTTTTGTGTTTTTGGGGGAAAAATAATTTTTGCTTAGCTTTTTTTAATTAGAAGTTACCCTATAAATTTTATTTTTGACCCCCTAACCCAAGTCATCTGGGTCCGTCCCAGAGCATTGTATAAGTGTCTTTTTGAAGCCTACAAAATCATCTCCATCCATTAGCCCAAAGTTGTAGTGAAGAAAATTATTATTTTTAGGTTGTTTTCCAAGTAAAGGTAGCAAAGTTACACTGAATTTAACAATCAACATCCTCCGCAAAATTAGTAGTAGAATAAGATGCGCGAGAGTTTGGATTGGAGATCATATATGTGGTAATGAAGTAGTTCTTTACAAATAATGAAAGAAAAAAAAGAAAATTTTCAAATTATGAGAAAAGTGGCATTTGAAAGAGTTCCAAATTATGAGTTATTTTGTCACTCTTGACATGCTATTGAAATTAAATTCAATGTATTGATTGCATACGCGCTAACTGCTAACTTTCACCCCCAAGAGCCCTTACAATCTCAAATATCTTAATTTTCTTCATTATTTGTCCATTTTCACTCTGCATTACATTTCCCTTCAAGCTCTCGTTGCCATATTTTATTTTTTTTATCCATACTTTGTTGTTGCCTTCTTGATGTCTCTAGTATCCCTTTGTTGCCTCATGGTAATGTGAAAATACTACTAGTTCAACTGCTGTTATTTTTTACATCTTAATTTTCAACTCTACCATTCAGCACTTCGACATGTAGGATCAAATGTATAGGAAAAGTGAAGAAGAACCTCACTTATAAATTTTTGTTCTTATGTATATTAATCATTTTATGTTGATTTTTTATTCGAAGTACAAACAGGAAGGATCATGATAATCTTACCTCCATACTTGCATAAAAAAAGAGATAGGAAAGTTAGAGGCATTAAATCGGCAATCATTCTTAGGGTACAAGGAACTCCTCCTGATCACACAAGGGGGTGGGTGGATATTTTTTGTAATTTTTTACTCACACGAGGTGGGCGTCCATCCCATGTGAGTGTTCTGTAATTCTTTTGTGAATAATTAGTTTGTACACACAGACTAATTCTTAAATTGGAAGGTGCTACATCCTTCACAATTTTTGAGGAATTGAATATATAGAAGTTGCTTTTAAATTTGACATAAAGAATTTGTATCCATTTGAAGGATGCCCCTTAGTCATCCATTCACTTCATTGGGTTGGATATTGTCATCATCATCAGGTCCATGTTAAGTCCATCATTAGTTAATCCATCCGCCACTCCATTACCTTCCCTCATAATATACGAGATTTTGGTGTGCATTAGTTAAGGAGGTCCTTAAAATAGTTTAGAATCATGCTACATTGACATAATTCTTAATATGATGATTGATTTAATGTCAGTGGCAGTTCATCATTAGACTGCTTTAAATACTGTCAACTTTTTTTTATCCAATCACATTTTACCAACACATATTCTGTCACTCTATCTATTAACCACTTTTTGGCAAAAATGGTGTAACCCATTCTTTTAAATGGAAATTACACAAACTAATAGATTTAGAGATCTCAATTCATAAATCATAGGTGAAGTTTGCTATTTTAGATATCAGATTTTTTTAATTTATTAATATATTTAAATATTAATAATTAAATCATAGGTGAAGTTTACAAACCCTAATTTATGTCTCTCCCACCCTCTCTCTCTAATATCACGTCTCAGCCCCTCTCTCTCTCTCTGTATATGATTGCATCTCTCTGCAGAAAAATAACCCGTCGGAGTGAAGCCGCACGAAGTAGCATGACATCGCCACCACCATTACAGGGCTCTCACTTCACGGTGATGATACGTTGAAAGAAGAGTCGTCGCGCATAGCGAGATGACCCCAATCAACCACTTCCATCATCATCTCCGGTGCCGATCACCCCTTCTCTCTTTCGCTTCATCTTCTCTCTCTCGTATCACTCTCCACAGACAGCTCCATCGCCTCACCATCAATGGCGTTTGTAGCGGTCCAACCTCGTCGCGGTGTGAAGCAGAGAGTGGTGCTGCGAGGTTAGGTTGCGGTGGCTATGGTGCGGTGGCAGTGGCGTGAGGTGCAGTGGCTGATTTTTTTATTATTATTTTGTTGTTGTTGTTGTTGGATGCGATGCAGGCGGTGGTGGCGTGGTGGTGGTCTTGGATCTATTTTGCGGTGGTGTCGCCAAGATCTGGATCTGCTACAGCGACGAAATAGGTGGGGATCTAGGAGATGAAATCTGATTGGGTTGTTGCGGCGATGGCATGGTTTTTGCAGTGGCTGTAGTATGGTTTTGGTATTGTGTTGGTAGTGTGGTTGTGACCGATAAATAATCTGCGACCTGTAAAATTTTTGAATTCGTGACTGAAATATATTCTGTAACTTATAAAATTTTCGATTTGTGACCGAGTAAATAAGTTACAACCAATAATTTGGTAAGCTGTGACTAAAAATTAATTTGTGACTAATTAATTAGTGATCGAAAAATATTCTGTGACCGAGTAAATAAGTTACGACAAATAATTTGATAAGTTGTGACTAATTAGTGATCGAAAAATATTCTGTGACCAATAAAATTTTCGATCTGTGATCGAGTAAATAAGTTACGATCAATAATTTGATAAGTTGTAACTAAAAATTAATTTGTGACTAATTAATTAGTGACCGAAAAATATTCTGTGACCAATAAAATTTTTGATCAGTGACCGAGTAAATAAGTTATGACCAATAATTTGATAAGTTGTGACTAAAAATTAATTTGTGACTAATTAATTAGATAACTGTGACCAAAAATTCGTGACCGAAAAATATTCTGCGACCTATAATATTTTCGATCTGTGATCAAGAAATAAGTTACGACCAATAATTTGATAAGTTGTGACTAAAAATTAATCAATGGCTAATTAATTAGATAACTGTGATCTAAATATATTAAATTAATTAAATCATTAATAAATTTTAATAAAAATATGATTTTTGAATTTTGAAACTTATTTTTTTAATTCTGAAATCTACTATACTTAATTTCTCACTTATGAAAATTTCCCATAATTATTTCACGCTTCATCAAAACGAATCATATCACTCGATATGTTGTGTGACTATCACTTTGAAATCATTATGCTCCTCCAACTCTCAAGAATCAATTGTTACTTGTAGAAAAAATCATGAAAAAATGTATGAGTCGATAGCTCAGTAAGTAGAAAAGTTTGAAAATAATCATACTTTTTTCATTCATAAATTTTTATCAAAAATTGAGTTTACATCATTTAACAATCCAAAGTATAGTAACGTATAATAATAGTCAAGATGTAAGACATCCTCATAATACTGAAATATATAATCTCATAGTCATGATATAATCTTCAACTCAAATTTATAATATCATCTTATCACACCATATGTAATCAACCAAAAATGTACCGTCTGACTGAATTCTATAGTCAGTCCATTGAGTTAAGAACTTTTGTCATGGGCCTTTGACTCCTTCCGTGAACGAAAGTATGTCTTAAGACCTCTAATAATCAATTCTAGAACACGATCAAGACTCTTCAGTGAACTATATGTACACGGTCCAATGCCCCTCAGTGTAGTATAGAATACGACCAAAGCCCATCGGTGAACTTGAAGAAATATACAATCATGTGTACTTTTCTAGTCAATCTCAGTATCATGTCTCGTATTCCAATTCACAAATGTAACATATACAATCTTTCAAATTCCACATATATCATAGTAAATGAAACTTTCATGGTAATCATATAATTGAACAAATAATTTACATAATTGCACATAATTTATAGATACTTGAAAATATCTAAGTTTTTCCACTCATCGAGTTCTCTGGCAAAGATTTAGCTAGGTCGACAGGTTTTTCCGTTTCTACATCCACCTCCTGAATTAACAATATTATTAGTTGAATCCAAACCCAATAATGTTAAATAATTAGTCATCTATTGTAATTTCTCATTTGGTCTCTTGCATCCCGATTCACACACAAAATATTATATTTGAGAGGCCAATTGCTCCTATTTGCTTTTTGTCGTTATTTTTTCATTACTAATAGTAAAATTAACTAGACATGTCCACCAAATCCATTTCCCGTACATTCTTCTTTAATTAACTTGGTTCATCTCTTGCCCATTCAACTTCCTTCAAACATGCACATCACCTACTACCATCTATATATTTTAAATATAGATAGGCTGCCAAATCAATTTCTCTAGCTAAGAGCATCACTTTAATTATCTTAATCTCTGCTTACATAAAATCCATCTAATTTATTTTCACTAACCCACAAGTCAAAAGAAATTATAGAACGGGGGCCTTAAATCTCATCACCCATCAATATAT